AATTTTCCTGGGTAGTAAAGCGCGGCCGGCGCGTAAGGCTGACAACCTTACCGCCATCTTTGAGCCGATTGTCTAGATAATGTGGGAGCCTCAACGTCTCACAACCCTATGGGCCTTCACGGCATGTTACAGGAATAGCTTTACTTTACTTTACATTTCTTATATCTCATATGCGTGTCACGTACCCAGATTATCTCATCTTTTTTTCACCTTTCTCATGCCTCCACCTATTTCCCCTCCCTCAGGTCCGGATTTTCAGCTCGGCACCCGCTTTTTCGCGTCAGGTGTGACAAAACAGCTGATGAAAATTATTGAGATCGTTCCGTGTTTTTCCTCAGTCCCTTCAGCCACGTATGGGGATAGTATCAGAAATTAGGCCATTGTAGCTTCCTACCACATCGTTTTCTATTTTTTATCTAAGAATATTCCTATCATTGAATTCTGCAAAATCTGAGTCGTTGACAGCATCATTAAATAAAGTGCAAGTAAAATAAATAAATAAGTAGTAAATACTGAAAACACCTAAAGAGTACCAAAGTCTCTTATTTTTGACCGCCATAATAATTAAACCCTCCTACCATCTGAATTTATAGGTCTACATGTATATAAATATCATATGTAATTTAAAAATGTTTATACTTAAGAGCAACATAGACTGAGTGCTTGAGAACAGGGTGTTGAGGAGAATATTTGGACCGAAGAGAGATGAAGTGACAGGAGGTTGGAGAAAACTGCATAATGTGGAGCTTCATAACTTGTACTCTTCTCCAAGTATAATTAGAATGATCAAGTCAAGAAGGATAGGATGGGCAAAGCATATAGCACAAATGGGGACGAAGATTCTGTTGGGAAAGCCAGAAGGAAAGAGACTACTAGGAAGAACAAGACGCAGGTGGGTGAATTTTATTACAATAGATCTTGGAGGTAAAGGGTGGGATGGTGTGGACTGAATTAATCTGATTCAGGGTAGGGACCAGTGGAGGGCTATTGAGAACACGGTAATGAACCTTCGGGTTCCATATACGTGTAATGTTGAGAAGTTATTAAGTAGCTGCACAATTGATGGCTTCTCAGGAAGAGCTCAGCTCCGTGAAGTTGGTTAGTTTTTTCACTTAAGAGTGTAAATACTATTTGAACTTCCTTGAATAAGTACTTGAAATACTTCAGCTTACCATAATAAATACGTATTAGAGCTTTAATGTTATCATGTCATTTAGTATTCCTTCTGTCAGACTTGCCATTTAAATGTACACATATTGTGTGTATTTTTTTTTTCCAGTCTTCTTATCATTTACATTACTTCAGATTAGTTTTGGTGCACACTCAGGAATTGGGCAAGGTTTTTCTTTGAGCATAAAGTTGGCATTTCATGTCCACTTAACTGAGCGAAGGCGTAGGCTATCTCCCTCCATATAGGCCTTTGTCATGAGGTTTGGTGGGGGGGGGCTGTCTCTTTGAGAGGTTCCGCAAGCTTCTATACGATCATAATTCTCTGTGTGTACTGCATGCGTAAGAAACGGGAAGCATCTGTCAGCCTCAAATCTCTAACAGGGCATAGAACAAACAAAACAAACTCCGTGGTCTGTAGTTCGCAAGCGAACTATACCGACCGAGCGACCGCCGCTTGTCGGTAAAGTTAGTGCCAACTTTGGCCGCGCCATAGCTCAAGCGGTTAGTCGCTGGCTTCCCACCGCGGCGGCCCGGGTTCGATCCCGGGTCTTGGCAAGTGGGATTTGTGGTGGACAAAGTGGCGCTGGGACAGGTTTTCTCCGAGTACTTCGGTTTCCCATGCCAATCTTCATTCCACCAATTGCTCCACAATCACCCTCACCTATCATCTGGGGCTGGTACAATAGGCCAGAAGTGGCCGCAGTACAAGGGACTTAGTCCCACTACCAATAAAGAAAAAAGTAAGAAATAGTGCCAACTTTAGCGGATAGAGGGTGTCGCGTGGTCAACGCAACAAATCCCCACGGCCGTTAATTTCGGTTTTCTAGATTGGAGCCGATATTTCCTTGAAATAGCTCCTCAGTTACCCTCACAAGGTTGTGTGGACCCCGTTCCAGACTCACTACTTCTCAGAAAATTTGTAGCGTCGGTAATCGAACCCGGACCTCTGGATCTGTAGCCAGGAACTCTGACCACTAGACCACAGAGGCGGTCCTCTGACAGGGCATAGAATGAACAATTAGTGTGTATGTGTTTATTTCAGGTTGATGACGAAACAAATGTTCTTCAGGATGGAACTCTCATAGATCTCTGTGGTGCGACGTTACTTTGGCGCTCGCATGAGGGTCTCGAGAAATCTCCGGTAAGTTAGATTATATCTCGTCTATTCGTCGTGGAAGTTAAGGGCATGAAAGTTTCTAAATAAAAGTTATGACTGTATCATGAATATCTGCTTATAAAAATGGTGGCAGGCAGTCTCCTGTAGTTCAGATAAAAGTTGCTGACAACATGGCAAAACCAATTTTCATGACAGTAGCTGTCCATGAATATTTCTGGCAGTGTACAGCAATAAAAGCACCAGTCATTGCCCAAAGTTAGTCAGTTTTTTGTTGCTCAGCTAAACGTACTTTAAAATAGAGGAAGTGGTGGAAGGCTGGTGAAACGTGCATGATGAAGAGCTTCATATTTCGTACTCTTCACAAGATATTAGGGTGACCAAATCAAGAAATATGTTTCTCATGGTTGTGAACATTTAGTTCTGAGATATGACACCGTATAGCCCGGTAGTTGCTTACCAGTGAGATGCTTCTGAAACACTGGTAACCATTACCAAATTGCATAGTGCCTTATGTCATGAAACCACACTTCTAAACCAAGGAGAATGAGATTCGTGAGGCGTGTAACATGCTTATCAGGCATGAGAAATGCACAGAAAATCATAAAATATTAAAGTAAGAAACTACTTAGGAGACCTAGGTGTAGATGATAGAGTAATATTAAAATGAATCTTAGAAGGTGTGAGAATGTGGACTCAATTCATCTGGTTCAGGTTGACATGGTAATGACCTTCGGGTTCCATAAAAGGTAAGATTTGTTTTTTACTAGTGGAGTGACGTTTGCTTCCTGAAGAACCGTGTTCCGTGGAGTCAGTGGATACGAAACATTTGTCATACATCGCAATTCGACAACCAACTGCATAGTATTGTATATAAAAGAACGTCAAAGCCAGGAGATCCTTAAAACAGTATATGTTAACACACGGAAGTCTAGGAAGATGCCCACGATCCATAAGGCAAAGCACAGTACGTGTTCCGTTGAAATTATATAAATTAATTTGTTTAAATTGTCTTTTTTGTATTTGTTTCTGTGTCATTGGTGAAACTGGCTTTCATTTTGCTGATGCGTGAGTGCGTGTCTGCGTGAGTGCGTGCGCCAGGAGAGAGATTTAGCTGCATTGCTTTCCATGGGACCCTGATGGTAATGACTCCCTTTTCCCACCCCAGATTATCCCCTTTGCTAGATATAGGCCGCAGTCTGACTGGTTGCTATGACTACCAGACGAAGAGGGTGTAATAATAGGTCCCACATCGTCGTCTCTCTAGGGGAGTTAGTAGAAGGCAGTATCTTCCGACCGCGCTGGAGGCAGGACGTGTTGATTGTTGAGGATGGAATGAATGAAACTCATTGCTTGACCTCCTGCTTGGATTTTTAAGACCCGGTGTCTGTGGCTCGAGCGGAATTCGCCCTAATGTTGAGGGTTCTGAGGCATCTTCCCTGATGTCATTGGCAACGGCAGTGATTTCCTTAAGACAGAGCTCGAATCCCCATGCTTCTACATCCGAGGAAAGGATGAACTGTAAATTATCCCACTCCTTAATGAAGTACTACATCGTGGCCCTGCCATAACTCAGACGGTTAGTCCCCGGCGGCCCGGGTTCGAGCCCAGGTAAGGTCATGTGGGATTTGTGGTGGACAAAGCGGTATTGGGGTAGGTTTTTACCGAGTACTCCGGTTTTCCTTGCCAGTTCTCATTCCACCGGCTGCTCTACATTCATCATATATCATCCGGAGCCGATACAGTTAGCCAATTAATGGCCGACTACTAAGTGAACTCAGTCACACCCCACCCTAAGAAACTAAAAAAAAAAAAAAGTACTACATCGTGAATACATGTAGGGAAACTAGCTTCACGCCCTGACCACTTCATCTCCGGATGATTTCTGGTACCTGTTGGGAGGAAGGCTGCGAAGACCCCAGAGACCGCCCCGTTGCTATGGAGAAGAAAGAAATAATGCCTGCGTCTATCGGGAAGCGAGTCACTATACCGATAGGTATTCTGCTTTTGTCCGAAGAAGGGTCTTCATGGAAATCGTTCTGTTCTTCGTCATCACTGGAGGTTTGATTATAGGACCCGCCCATCTTCCTGTATAGCTAGTATCGCTGCTAATCAATGAAGCTTAGAACTCTCCTCTGCGTACGAGTGTGAATGTCTTGCCTGTACACTCATCGCATACAGGTGTTTCTTAGCTTTCCTGGTGAGTCAGCCGTTTTCTCATTTATAGTGATTCGGTAGTTCAATCATTGTAGAAGGCTTTAGTGGTTAAGTCGTGAAACCTTTCAGTGAATGAACCAAGTGGGACCTTCTCGGCGATGTAAACACTATAGGAATACAAGTCCCCATTGATGGAAATAATTACAGTAATGTTTTTTATTCTCATCGACGCAGTTGATTACTTCAAATACATCACTTTTAATCGCTGTAAAAACTAAAGATTTTATAAAGCGGATGACGTATTTTTACAGTTAGGCTTCAAAGCTCTCGTCCTGGTTGGTAGAGTTTTTATGAATGCTTATGGAGTGGTTTTCCCACGGAAGTGGCAGTTATTGAAATTCATTTCAAGCTGATGGCGTACCTCCGTCCTCAATGATTCTTACATTCCTGTCTCCTGGAGGGCTTTTTGGTATCATAAACAGTGATAAAATAGTACTGCAAATATGCACCGAATAGAAGTGTATCTGTAAGAGCAGGTTGAGGGGACTCCAGTGAGTGCTCTAGTAAACTCTAAAATGTGAATTAGTCACGGCGGATCTGCAAGACTTCAATAAATCCAGTTACCAATCCAAACCCAGTCTTTAGCCAGCCCATCACGTGATAATATCCAAAGACGCACATCATCGGAGCAGGAAATTAGTTGATTTTGGGGCGATTAAACAACTCGTTAGGACGTGATCACACCAAGGAAACTGGCAACCGCAATTTCCGAGAAGTATCAGCCAGTGAAAGCATATAACTGAACGGAGCAACGCAAATTTAGGAAACTGCGTTGCCGTTTCCTCAATTTGCGCTTCTCCATTCAGTAACATGCGTTTCAGGTCAGGCTGATAACAGTTCTCGGTAATTGCGGTTGCCAGTTTCCTTAGTGTGACCTCGCCTTTAATCTCTCTGCTGCAGCTTGAATTTGATTTCTACTCTAACGTGTGTCTTTTTTGTGGAGAAGAGAGTGCGTGTTCCCCAGATCTGGCTTGCGGTTAGAAGAATAATTTTAACCAGTTTAGGTCGTACGTAAACAATCGTCGTAAAATAAAATTGATGTTTCATGTTGGGTTTCGAATAGTAGAATTACAGAAGTGTAGCCGAACGTTACAGATTTCAAGCCATTATCTTCGCTGTTACGTTTGTTACTTCCGTTTAAAATCTATATCGTTATTTTGCTGTTTCGCTACCCTGATAGTTGTTAATTTCTGTGACATGTCAGGTTAGGTTACAAAATGTGTCACGTCCAAAGTATATGGGACCAAGATGTCTGACGCTGTCAGATAAGGCCAGTGTCCGTCCACAAAGACTGCGTTAATGAATAAGGGCAATGTTGTAACTCTGTCAAAAACAAGATAAGAGCGACACCGCAGAAGTATAATATTCATTCCACGCTTCCACACCAGCAAATGTGCCTTTGGACAGATGAAAACCTTCCCAGTACTTGGTTTCCACGCGACTGTTGCGTCATACAAAAAAAGACAAGTTTATCATAAGGTTTTGGTAGATGTGTTTTATGTCTTTTCATGCGTTCCGGTATAACCCACGTTTAAGAATGATTCTTTTCATGTATGAGAATTTACCCATCTGCCTGATTCTCACTCCTTCGTAAGTCAAAATTCATCATCCTATTATGTTTTTACATTGAATAAATTCTACGTTTACAGTTCGTTTCGTAACCTTCCCCATCTGTTTTCCTTTCTTTCTTCTTCTCTTTCACGTTCGTTTACTTCACTGTGATACTGATGTTCTTTTTATATCCCTTTGTAGTTTTTCAGACACTTTCAAAGCCAACCTTGTTTATTTGTGAATTTAGCTTACCAACCCCCTTGCCTTCTGTATAATTCTTAGACTTTTCGTGTTTGTGTATTCAGTTGGATGACGCGCGTTTTTCTCTTTTATAAAGTAGAACTATAGACACTAGGAGCATTACATTTACTTAAATTAACGTTAATGTCAGTGAGATTGTGGGAACGAAAGTGGAATCAAATGATTCTGCTAGAAACAGAACTCAAAGACTCGAAACAGATTCTCCTGGACGCGACAGAAAAACTCAGTTATCCTTTCATATATATTTCCAAGTTGTAATTGTAAACACGATAAATTTTATATGTAGCATCACGCTTCAATTACACGTTGGGTTAGGTAATCACATTACGCAAACGCAAATCGATATACTCGTACGCACCCACATGTACATTGGATGGTGGTAGCATTTTAAGAATCGATAATGTTAGGATGTTAGATTAGGTTAGGTTTGCGCAGTAGACTACTGCGCATCCACTTGTACCTTAGGGTGGGCGAGTTTGGTAAGGCCCCCCATACACACAGTTTGGCCTTCCGATTGACCTTACAAGCAAAACTTTTACAGTTTAACCTCTCCCTTTCTTTCCCCATACACGCGCAGATGAACCGGCAGGCTTCATGCCACAGTCACAGTCTTGCAGCCTATGTTGCCGAGTGCAGTGCAGTCTTGTTTAGTTGTTAGAACATATCTACAGTTGATGAACTGTTTGCATATGCAGCTATCGCGTGTGTATTGCAAGTTATGGACCAAACAGTGGTTAGAAAGAAACCCGTCCAAGGCCTCTTGGTCTACCAGGAACAAGAAATCTTTGTAGTACCACAATTTCGGGACATTGAGGTCTTCGCTGCTCATTCCGTACTTTTCCGAAACTGCTACGTAGATTGTTGATCTGTTTCAACACAGTTTCCTTGTTAGCTTGGGGATCAAGTGTTTTAACTTTTTCCGTCAGTTCTGAATAAGCACTCTCTTTCGTCTCACGGTTGTGGTATTCTTCGCTCTTGACCTTCCAAATAGAAGGATG